GCGTGTATAAAATGGCATTCGGGTCATTGGAGGGGTTAAAATCTGGGGCGTTGGTGATAAAAGGGTTGTTGGGCGATCCGGGACGACAGCGGAGGTGCGAAATAGCCGGCTGGCGACGAGTAAAATATTTCCAAGTATAAAGTACTTCCAATTCTTTGTTGCTGTCAGAGGCAGATGGTAAGCTGGATGGTGTACGAGAGGATGCTGCGCCGGTGGGAGGCGCAACAGGAGCAGAGGGGCGATGTGATCGATTCTCTGGAGTGGGTGACGCGGTCTCTTTGGATGCTAGGGATATCACAGGAAAGCTCGGTGTGTTTTGCTCCGGACTGTGGTTACTGATTGTGTCATCAGTAATATTATCGGTTGCACCCGTCGTGGGTGTTAACGACTGTTGAGGTTGGTGGCGATGAAGGCGGCGGCCTGGAGGGCGTTTCCATGTTAGAAATTGGAGCCGTTTCCTTATTGCTGTCATCGTTCGGAAGGGGAATTTAGTTTGTAAAAGTGGCAGAAGCTGCGCTAATAGAGATACAGATTCACCTAAATGAGCTGCGTGCAGTAATAACTGAGCATCTTCCTCCGCAGACCAGTGTACTGAGGATATGGCCGCTCGGGATGACAGCATGTCTTGGTAAATAGTGGGGTGTGCCTGGCGGCAGTGAGTGGTAAGCGCTCTTACTGAGGCGAATTGACGATTGCATTGTTGGCATGACGTCACCGGAGCACCGCGCATACGTAGATCGTTGGGATGTCGTTTGTGGTATCCGGTATGCCGAGTAAGACCAGCAGCCGTCGAGAAAAGAGCGTGACAGATATTACAGGTGTAATTTTGCAACACAGTGTGAGGAGTCGAAAGTATGGCGGAGGTTGTCATTGTTGGTTGTGGAATGATGTTTGTTACTCCGTCGATGTGCAGTGATGGGGAATTCATATTTGAGATGTGTGAGTGAATATGTGCACAGTGCATGAATCCGCGGTCGACTAAAAGAGACTATCCATAGGGCTCAGGCCACAATAAGTGAAAAATAGGAATAAAAGCTAAAGCAGAATAGGGGAAGGGAAATGGTGTAGGCGAGAAGGATAATGGAAGAATTTATAGAATGCACGAATTACCCCAAGTAAAATATGACTGAGATCTAAACACGAGCATAAAAATTCTCTAGCTAGTCGGTCAGGTCAAATATTGTTCGCAGCATGCGTAAAACGACAAAAACTGACAAACAAAAAATAGCGATTGCCAGAATACTCCCGAAAAATACCAAGGTAGGTGGATAACACTTGAAAGCCCAGAAAAATACCGCTACTTGAATCACAATTTATCAGAAACATCTGTGAAACATCAAAAAATAAAAGCCCCTCTAACAACGTGAGACCCATGACGATCGTAAAGCGTTGGCGAAACTTCGCCCAATTAAGATGAAAACCAGGCATGCGGGGTCAATGTGGCATCAATCAATAACACTATAGGTCAGATAGGCCGGCAAAATCTTTGTAGAGTGTTGATCAAACATAGCCTAAACTGACGAGAAGCCATTGGGGGCGATCAATATCAAACGTCGGTTCATCAAAAGGAGGCTCATCAAGAGGAAGCTAAAAGTTTGGAGTTTTCTAGGAATGCAAACCAACATGCATAAAAAGACTTTGTATATAGTATACAATAACAGCAAAATAATTGTATGTACGCATGTTGAAGGTATAAAATTCCCTTAGAGAAAATCTTTATAAAAAGACATTGCAGTAGGAGGCTCAGCCGGAATATGACATATAAAAAACAAATGTAGGCTAATCCCACGAAATTCATGAGCGTAAGATGACTTAAAAGAAAGAGCACAAAACCCTACATAAGATGGATATAAAATGTAAGAAAAACGTGGCCCAAACCCTACGGAAAAACCACTTTAGTCAGACTCACGGTACATGTTGGACAAGTGAAAACGTTTGTCACAGTTTTTGTTAAAACAGTTGTGAATTTTTCCAAAATTCTTGTTTCAGTAAATTCAGTGCACAGTTTCCAGCAAAACAGTGTATAATAATCCAAATTCCGTTGACTTGGCAAGAAGAAATCACACAAAACTGCCGGAGCACAGTAAACACGTCCGCCACACAACTCAGCTCGTGCAACATTGCTTGCTACTTTTGCCCTTGTATAGTGGCAACACAAGGGCATCCTTCAGCTCAAAAGGCACCTCCTCCTCAATCAATACACGCTGCACTAAGTGATGCAGCGCAGTCACCAAAGCGGATCTGCTGTGTTTCAATACTTCAGGCGGGATCCGTCGGCCCCCCGCACACTTGCCGTTTCGCAGCTGAGCAGGTGCTCTCTGCGCCTCATCCAGTGTCGGCGTGTCTGCCAGACTCGCCTTCACATCGTGCTGCTTGAGGTCGTTCAATGTAGGCCGGTCGATCTCTGAACGATTGTTTAAGAGACAGTCATTATGTCTACAGTCTGTGTGTAGGTAGCGCCTGAACTACCATCGAGCAGTGTCCTCAGCGGCTCCAACCTCTGTACATATACCGCCTTCAAGAAGTCAAAGAACTCCTTGTGTTGGCGGTGTTCGGCGTAGCATTCCATCTGCTTCACCTTCTCCGTCCACCATGTATTTTAATGCGACGGAGCTCCCGGGTCAGTCGCCGTCGAAGTTTGCGAAACTGACTACTCTTTCCCAAGTCACTGGGGTCGGCAACATGTGCAGCAAATGCTGCATTCTTCTCCGACACCAATGCGCCAATCGTCGCATTGTTCTCATCAAATCAATCAAGCCGCTTACAGTTTGCGCGTCCGATGGTCTCCTCAGCAGCAGCTGTCACCTGGTCGCGAATGTGGTGCCACAGGTCACCCATTGTGGCTGTGCCTTCCACATCACACAGGCGTGCAGCCATCGCCTTCTCCAGCTCAATACGTTTCGCCACAGTACCGAGGGAGAGAATGTTGAATTTACGCCAATTCACAGCGGGAGTGCGTTACATAGATTTACGAAAATATATGTACAGTTTGGTCCGCATCAATTTGTGATCAGTGCCACACTCAGCTCCACGCAGTGCACATGTCATGTGCACTTCATGCATATCACGCTGACGTACGATGAAATAGTCGAGCAGGTGAGCGTGACCACTCCGTGGGTGCGTCCAAGTTGTTATATCACTCGCATTCAATGCAAATCGAGTGTTTGTGATTATCAGGCCGTGAGGAGCACACAATGAGAGCAGCCTGTTACCGTTCGCATTCGCTGAACCAATGCCATGCGCACCGATAACATCTGTTCACACCGATGCATCACGCCCAACGCGCGCGTGGAACTCACCCAGCAAAAATAGTCGGTCGCTCCTCGGCACGGACCGTAGCACGGAGGATAGTTGAGTGTAGGATCGATGACGTGTATTATCAGGATAACACATGGTCGGACCGTACGTGATTATGAAAGTGGCAAACTTACCTCTTCCGAGTCGTAGGCGACCAGTCATCAGTTGCGCGCTTATGCCTGTTGGTTCACTCACCAGCTGGCCATGGAGGCGATCGGATATTGCAAGTCCGACCCCATGTTCACGTGGTGCTGAGGCGGCGTTGCCCACCCAGTGGAATGTGTAGCCAGCACCTGCTTCATGCAACGTACCTTGCTCAGCGAGCTGAGTTTCACTGAGCGCCGTAATATGGATGTGGTAGCACGCCAGTTCCATCGGGACGTTTGCAGTGCGTCGCTCGGGGCACTCACTCGAGTTCCGGTCCAGTATTGTGCGCACGTTCAAGCATCCAATGCTGAGTGCTTTGCGCACAGGCACACGATTGCATTGGTGGGCAATCGCACGCGAGGTGGTCGTTGTGCTTCGGAGGTTTGCTTGAGGGACTCCGTCCGGAGCCTTTGACTCAGTAGCCTGACCCACAAGACAGTGGGGAGCAGATCCAGCTGGGGAATGTGATTGCAGAGACAGATTGGGATCTGCTTGACGGTCGTCACACGCAGCCTTGGAGGTACTGGAACGATTCATATGTTTTGCGACCGTAATAGGATACACCTGCGACCACGGCCAGACGCAGGTGGGTTTTGGCGGGTTTGCACCAATTTGACCAGGGGCTGCCTGGCTTGAGGCGGGCAGTAGCAAACCATTGAACATCCGGAGGTGCCCTCTCACCGTCAGAGACAATGCATGGCGCTCGTGCTCTACGCCAATCGAGGTGTGAGCTTATAATCCGTAGACCTGTTGTCTCCCATGACTAGGTTTTACGGGAAGAGAGCCATCGACCACTTCCTAACCTCCGAAGAGGGTGGACTAGGATATTGGCAGGGCGCCCACACATGACAGGAGAACGACTCGGGTCCACAGCCAAAGCCTTCGATTAAATGAACACCCGAAAGACAGCGGGTCTAGCACATGTTCAGTTCACTGACTCATGCGGATTGGTGTCCTGGATCTTGACAGGGAGAACAGGTAACCCAGCTCCCACCCAGCGGTCGCCACGAGGCGTCCAGGACATGAGCCAATGATGCAACAGTAGCAGCAGTTGCTAGAGCACCTGTCAGGATCTAGCCACCACCAGCCTCAGCGAACCATAGGCTCTCCCGCCTATATATATATATATATATATATATATATATATATATATATATATATATATATATATAATGCTGAGAATGCTTCATTCCCTCATGAATGAGTTTAACTGCTTTAATACTGGATACGAAAGGCTCGAATTGTAATCCATGCACTTCTGCATCTTTCTTCCGTCTTTGTATAACATTACCTAACAGTTGTTGCAGTGCTGGTAGCCCTTAGGATGATCAACCAATCTGACCGATTTCGGTATCACATGGAGACTATTAACATTTCACTGAGGCTCAAGCTATAATTTCGTTGGGTTGATTGATCTTTAGTTTGTCAATTCTGCGGAGAACTTGTTCCGGTTTGCCTGAAACTGGCGTCGACTGAGGAAGGCTCGTGTAAAGACAAACGCAAAGTTTTCTGTGACATTGGCGCTCAACTTATCGTTATTCACGTGACCATATGTTCGATGCAGCCTTTGTAAATTTTCGAAATACTCTTGTCATCCACTAGTGTTCCTTCCCCAGAATCATTCAGTTAAGATGCACAGGACACCTTCAATGCTGACTGCTATGAATCCATTGTCAAAACGAAGACGAGAGCATACGCTGAGAAGAATTAAGGTCCTAATTGGCCGTTTGACTGATTCACAGCTTTTGAAAGGAAGAGCGGCCCAAATGGCAGAAACAGATATAAGCAATATGTGTATTTTGCTCAATGAGGTATTATCGGAAGAGCCATCATGTCTGTCTCTCAATTTGGATGCAAAGTTGTTTGTTGTGGGCGATACACATGGTCATTACACACATTTGCTACAAGCAATGAACGAATTGGGTCATCCTCCAAGCGCAAACTATCTATTTCTCGGTAACTATGTAAATCGAGGTGATAAATCCATGGAAACCATCGTGCTTCTTTTCGCATATAAATTGCTATACCCTAAGAGCTTTCACCTACTTCGTGGGAACCATGAGTGTGACCAACTCGGGCGAATGTATGGATTCTATGCCGAATGCACGAAACGTTTCAGTGTGCATCTGTGGAACATTATCATCGATACCTTTAATTACCTTCCCTTTGCGGCACTAATTGAAAACACCTTCTTTTGTTCCCATAGCGGCATATCACCAAGTCTGCTATACACCGGATGCACAGATCCCCGATCATTACAGGAATATCTCTCGGTTTGGATTCCAAGGCCGACGGAAATTGTGACGAATTTATTGGCCACTCATTTGATTTGGTCTGCACCATCTGTAGGTGTAGAGAAATGGGAAGCCAATCCCGCAGGTCTCGGTTACCTTTTTGGTCCATCCATTGTTGACGAATTTTGTGGAAGATTTCGGATACTGCAGCTAGTGAGATCGAACGAAATGCTGCCGGAAGGCTATGAGTTTTTCGCACAGAATAAACTTATCACAATATTTAGCGTCCCTGACTACCTGGGCATTTATAAAAATAGCGGCGCCATAATCCAGCTAGTTCGTTCGGAGGAGTCTAAAGTCATTTTGGGTCAGATAAGAAGATTCAGCCCTACAGTCTCTGAGAAGCAAATTTATCGGATACACAACACAGCATTGCGAAGATACCAGACTGACAAACCGAGTCGGTTCAAGAGTCTACGTGGAATCCAGAGTCGTGGATTAAGTATATGGCAATAATAAATGGCAAAGAGTTCATGAAAGATGCAGGTGTACGAGTCTGATTAATGTGTGGGCATGGCAAGTGCATGTTGGGGGCAGAAGCGAGGTAAAGTGCACTGAGAAAAGCATGCGTGAGGTATGAAAAAACCCTGGAATTCGTTTAGCTTCATGGGTGTGCCAACTAGCGATAAATTTGTAATGTATGTCGCTTCACGGTCGGCCGGTGGCTGATTAGTATAGGTCGTCCAACCTCGGTTCCAAAGCTTATCTGTTTTCTATGTGGACTCACGCATGACAGCTGTTCACAGTTAGACAGTTTGCCATTCGTTGTCCATGTCCTTGCACCTGATTGGTTGATTGACCTGTTGATCTTTGTGTATTTGTTGCCTCACGCATGTCATTTTCCAAGACAGCTCGTCTCATCGTGGCGCGTTCTGTTTCTGTCGGAGTGGGTTGCGTGTAACAGGGTTACACATCACAATACGGTTGGGATCTGGGTTGGTGCGGGCTATCTCGTAGTGACTGACCCGAGGACGGCTGGTGGTGGCAGCGTACCGGTATGCTGTTGCTGATCTGTTATTTCATGATATCGCGCTAGGAATCCATGAAACAGCGGAACTAATAGGCTAAAAGTGCCACCTTCATATCCCTTTGTTTTATATCACATGAAAGAGATTTAGAGGAGTGGCGACTGACCGAGAGGGTGGTGTACACACTCGACCGAATATCGATCAGGGGACATTTTCTATCGTTACCGCCAAACCTGAGAGATGTTTCACCCCTTGGAGTGCCTTAGTACTGGCATATGCGTAGGTAAAAACGAGACTAGAACGATTGGACGCATCGAGAAGTGTGCTTGAATACCATTCGCGGTTGTCAACATCACTTCACGAAAGGACAAGTATGCTCGTCAGAGGGCTACCGCGTAACCACCGTTTTGTCATCATGGTGCTTCAATCCGACTCCCGCTAACGTCATGAGCTGACGACTCCAATAAAACATCCGGAGACTACGGCATCCAAACTGATTTTGTACCGAAGGCGGATGCGTAGCCCCGCATAAGACATACATTTCAGCAAGTGGCTCGGGTCAGTCCAAGGTTAAAGATGATCCGTGTATAAAGGGACGGACACTGCTCAGTCTCCAGGCGTAACGTCGAGCGCAGATCATCGAAGCATCCTGAACCGACAATAAAACACGCTGGGAAGATCTTATTTTTGCGACATATTCAGAAAACATGCTAATTGAGAAAAGCGAATGCAATTGCTGGGACGACTTTTCAACACACTGAATCCGAAAGTCACAAAAGCACGCAGTCAATGAAGCACCGCATTTTAGTGAGTGACAACCATACAAGAAACAGACCAGCTAAGTGTCGGCCGGTGACCGAGTGGTCTGCGCGCCTGGTTTGCAAGCATATGGTCACCGGTTCGAATCGGCGTAGGGGTGGGCGTCCTCTCGGTAAAGTTCACCCGCAGGCGACTGGTGGTGGACGCGCGGCAGCGAAGCGCCATTACGGCGTACAGCCAACACATGATTTTATTATTTATATCTTCCGGGTGAGTTGCAAAAGCAACAACTCATGGGCTGACTCGGGCACTTGCGCCGGCTGAACACTGATCAGACGTTCAATTTCCCCGAGCGAATGCGCACTATGTTATAGTAGGGAAGACCGGGCGATGTTAACAAGTACTTTACCAGACCAATAGACCACATGTAGAAGAGGAAAATGGGCGCCTAAAACCCTGCAGCAGCACTGACAGGTTTCAAGATAAAGTACGCCATGCATACACTAGTTGCAGCGCAGCTGTAGCTGTTGAGGTAGCGGTGTTAGGGACAGTAGACTGTGATGAATATATATATATATATATATATATATATATATATATATATATATATATATATATATATATGTATATATGATATTCTACACAACCTGTGGTACAGATATTGTGTCATCGGAATCATGGCTGAATAGGAAGACAGTATGAATAATAAGAAAAAGCAACAACGAAAACTTTTTGCCTAGTTTACCGCTCACAGTTTTTGCAATTTTTTCAGTTTGTCTTTTTAAGGGGAGGAAGAAGGGACACCGCAACACACCGATGCACACGTCCGCCATTGACATCGATCTTGAGCCATGGCTTCCAAGATCTTCATCCAGCAAGTATCCGTATCTCACGGACCCCAAGCAAGTAGTCGACAACAACCGGCCTAGGCCAACTGTTTCGTCAGCTTTTTCATGCGGCTTCTCCATGTTGTAGGCTGTCCACCAGACTGTCTTCTCCAGCCCTGTCAAGCAACCGCAAACAACGCACGACGCGGGTAACGCTGGACAGGCATGCGCAATACGTGTCCCAACCACCGCAGTTGGTGCAGTGAGATGAGCTCCTCGAGCGAGTGGCTTCCACGTCCCAAGACACGCTGTCTAACTTCCACATTACTTACGTGGTGCTGCCACCACACACGGGCAACGGACCGCAGACAGCGATGCTCGAAGACAGATAGCCTGCGCAAGTCATCTTTACGAATGGGCCAGGTCTCGCATCGTACAACATTACAGCACGAACAGTTGCACAATAGACCCGCCCTTTGATGGAGAGACGAAAGACGTGGCGATGCCACAAATGCCTCAGCCTAGAAAAAGCGAGGCCTGCTCTCGAGATGCGCATCGAAATCTCGTCTCCAACACCCCCGACAGCAGTGATGCAACTTCCCAAGTAGACAAAACATTCCACAACCTCTAATGTCTCATCACCAAGTGGGAGTGCAGGCAGTGGCACCTGCCAGACTTGGAAGAGAGCCTTACATTTGGATGGCGAAAAGTACATACCATACTTTGATGTTTCAATCGCTAGGCGGTTTAGTGCAATTTGGACGACATGTGGATCGTCACCCAACAAGACGATATCATCAGCATAATCCAAGTCAACAACTCGACTATCTGGGAGGAGCTCAACGCCAGCGTCCAACGAATCGCCCAGATCGTTCTTCAGGACATCCTCAATGGCAAAATTGAATGGGAAAGGAGAGACAGGGCATCCTTGTCGAACTCCACTGGAGACCACAAAGGTAGACGAAAGCTTGCCATAAGCCCTAACGTTGCGCGAGGTCAGACTATATAGAGCGCGCAGTATGGAGACGAACTTCTCGGGGACGTCATTCCTCAGTAGGCAGTGCCACAGTATCGTACGATCGACGGAATCGAAGGCTGCAAGGATATCCAGGAACACCGCAATCGTTGGCCTCTGATACACATAGCAGAGCTCGAGGATCTGGCGAAGTGTGAAGATTTGATCGATGCAGCCGCGACAGGACGAAACCCAGCTTGTTCTTCTCGTTGCACCGATTCGCGCGTTGGGGATAGTCTGCGAAGTATGATGGACACCAGCAGCTTGCGAACGACGGGGACTAAGCTTATGCCTCTGTAATTGGAGCAGATTGTGTGCAAGCCCTTCTTGAAGATGGGGACGACTATCGATTGACTCCAAGATGATGGAACTTTCTCTTTCGACCAAATTTTCGAGAACAAAGTGGTGAGCTCTCGAACTAGCGAAGCGCCACCATCCTTAAATAGAGCTGGAGGAAGACCATCAGGGCCGGGAGCTTCATAACGCTTCATGTGACGGAGCTCCTGCTCGAGTTCCTGGTAAGAGGGAGGATCAGTGGGGGTAGGCCACGCGATCCCAGCGCGAGCGCCAGAGGTAGCAGATGGCGCTGGGGGCCAACAAAACTGCGAGCCGAAATGTTCGGCCCATCGCTCCCATCTCTGCTCAAGATTGGTGATTAAGGTGCCATCCTCTTCGCATATTGTTTCACTTATACCAAATCGAGCACCTTCGATGACTCGAATGATGAAGCTATACTAAAAAGTAGGCAAAATGGTAAGCACTTTCAAGCTAAAGATCCAAGCGCCATTGTGATTCCCGAGAGGTGCAGTATAATGAGTAGTTTAAATCCTTGTCCACATGAAAACTCGTAATTTAATACGGCCATGCGTTGGTGTTAAGGTACGTGCGCGTCTTCAGTACCATCATCAACAACAGCGGTATGTAACTAAATGTAATGATTTAAAATGTTTTGGAAAACTGGTAGCTCGGGTTGATATTTCGGATATCCACGAAGCTTCATCCGAAGGTGTCTTAACCACAACAAACCAAACAGACAGTCTTCACCAACGACGGAGAGACGCGTTGTTTTACCTTATATGAAGAATATATCCGAAATGGCAGCAAGACTACTCAAACAACATCACTTTATCGTAGCACACAAACCAACTGCTACACTGAGAAAAACTCTATCGAAACCGAAAGAGAAACTGGAAGCTCATGAGCAAAGCAATGTTGTATATAGACTACTTTGTAGAAATTGCGGAAAGGACTATGTTGGCCAAACAGGCAGAAAAGTAACGACAAGATTACAAGAGCATAAAAGAGCATGCAAAAGACACTATGCATCTTCACCAGTCTCAGCACATGTGGATGAAAAAGAACACAGCTTTGATTGGGCCAAAACAGAAGTCCTGGCACGTGGTGAAACAAGAAGAGCAAGGGAATTCCTGGAAGCGTGGTTCTCAACACAAGACTCGATCAACATGCAAATCGAGATTGACCCAGTTTACCAACCCCTCCGACGGAGAGAACTTAGAGAAATTATGAGACGCCGCTTGAATAGGAACAACCCAAGCGACGACCTCCGCCACGGGGAAATGGGTAGAGATCGCGGGGCACGGATCGAAGCCATCACTTTCGAAATGTCACCTGCACGCCGATCACGGGTCGACAATTCAATCAGCGAGATTACACCCCACATCTCGACGCACTGATGATGCCGTCTCGCATGACGGTGAAACGTTTGCAAACCAATTTCGCAGCTCGGCGAACAAATGAGCAACTAATTGTAATGATGCTTCGCTGTCAGACAACCAGAATATATAGGAGGAATAAGGAACGCTAAGATGAAGGGGACCTAGCGTATAACCTTAATACCCTAAGCAAACATTCAGGGCTGTCGCCTACACCTCGTTCACACTATAGGCTCACTAGCAGTTGGCCATCATGCGATGATAACGCAGCATCGGCGAAACAGTCACCATGCGATTTTCATTGTCCAACGTAACAATCAGCGCCTTATTCTACAAACAATACTGCATCAGACGCAATTGAAACAGAATATAAACACGCCAAGGGTAACGGCTGGAAACCATGTCTTGCAGTCTCGAACCACGCAACAAGTGGGTAATGGAAAATCTATCCTAGTTTATTCGTCAACCAACTCATTTTTGGCTGTCTATACAGCTATTAGTCAACTCCAGAATTTGTCATGTGAACAAAACAAGGTGCTTCATGGTAGGCGAGCACACATAGCACGTGCCCAAGGCAACACAACTTGCCACGGTTATCTGTTGCACAAAGAAACTAACCAGAC